TATTTCTTCGTAGCCTATTTGAATATTATAACATAACGATTGATTATTAGTGTTTACTGCGTTGTAAAAGTAGTCTCTTAATTCAGTCTAACTTGAATGTGGCTTTTAAATGATATAATAATATAACTGAATTAAATTTGAAATGTATGTATCTAATGTGTAAAGTTGTACTACATACTAATTATGCACATTTCAGTTTTGCAAGTAGCAGACAGTTTTACAGATGTGTACTCTTCACGTAATTTTGAGAAGTATGTTTATATTAATTTTGTAACTTCAATTTAGTTTAAATGTGTTCTCAAATGATATTTAATTAAATTGAATTAAGTTTGGTAACGAAAAGCATGTGTAAAGTTATACAATATTTTAGTTGGTAGTATATTCCGTATTCTCACTCTTATATATATATATATATTCCACAATTATTTTGTTCCTTCTTTAGTGTTTTTAAAATTACGTTTGTTTTGTATATCCGAAAAATTTCTATATGATAATTGGTATCATTTTATGGCTAATTTTGTATACAAAGTAGTTATGTCGCATAAATACTGAGTTATTTTAATAAAACAAAATAGTACTCTATACCCGTCACCTTTCCTTTACAAATATAATAAGTAAAGTAACTTTTAATCGAAGCAAAGATAAAAAATCATAAAATTAACATCGGCAGTTCTAACGGAATACCGTCGACAATTTTAAAGTGTTAAACTTTTAATTAACTGTATGTATATAACTATATGTAAAGAGATAAAAAAAGATCAAAAATGCTTGCGCTCTCTCTCTCTCTCTCTCTCTCTCTCTCTAGCAATTAGATACTTAAACTTTAATAATATTTTATTTGGAAAAGTACAGAGTATATTTTAAAAATGTGTCTTCTGTAAAAAAAAAATAATATTCTCTCTGCACAGTATTTTAAAATATACATCATTAATATATAAAAATCCGATTTTATATCCGTATTAATTTTTTTAAATATGTGAACAGTTTTTTACGATTGCAAAACATAAAAATATAGTAATTTTTTTAAATAAAAAATATGTTATTATAGTTCTGACACATCCAAAAAATATAAAGTATACATGTATTATTGATATTAAAATATATTTTTTTACATCGTAATTTTGCATTTTTTTTATAGCACACTCTTATTAACTCAATTGGTTACCTTAACATTTGTTTGCAAATGTAGGTATATATATTTATATAAAGAAATAATTTTGTATGTAATATTACAACATTTATAGATAGTTTTAGCAACTAGATTTCAGTTTGTAGGAGAAAAAAAATAGATAATTTCCGACGCATTCTTATATAGTATTAAATATTTTATTATACTGAGAGTTGCTGACGATTGCAAATAATCGACGATTGCAATCGTCTTTAGCGTTAAACAATCAATTAATAATAAAAAGAGCCGACTGATAAATCCGTCTACCATTGGGAGAATGACAGTCTACCACTTGTCTGTCTGTCGGTGCGATTAATAAATTGTCAGGATTAAAAGGGTTCACGATCAGTAATAAATGCACTGTGCCCGGAGATTGGATTTGACGTAAATCGGTAAAACTGGAGTGAAATTTTCACACACTCTCGATAGTCTCGAGCGTGTTCGTTTGCACTTCTATTTTCCCCTTGTCGTTGCCTGATTAATGTGGATTACAGCAGACTAGAAAGAATAAGGATAAACTCTGTATTTGATCGCGTGAATTACATCGGGGGGAATATAAATTTATGGACTAACACACTGTAGCGTGTTGCCTCACGACACGAGTAACAGGTTATAAATATCGAATCGGGTACAAACGCCATTTCATTTATCCATGAAATTTTCCGATATAGATAAATTATGCAGCATCGGAAATACGCCAATAATAGCAACGGATTAATTTAGATCATTTACAAGCCTTTATGGTTTCGCTTCTACATCGCTTATTGCTCTTTTCAATCTGATGAATAACTTATTTGTGAAATAAATATTCTAGTGCTCGTTTACCATCAAACAGAAATATCTAATTTTTGCGTCGAAATGATTTAAAACAGATGTATGTAATTATTTCGCCAATCAAATCACCTGTTGTCAATTATAATAAATGTTTTGTTTTCTATTACTGACTCATTACTAACATTAAGGTAAAGTGTGTTGTGTGCGAATATACAGTCTTCTATTTTAATTAATTTAATATATTTTAATGTAGTCTCTGAAAAGTAAACTAATAAGCATAAATACTTATACACATTTTTAATAACATTTCTCGTTTACCAATGCACCCAGACAATACGCAAAAAGAGACATGGGACATTAAAAACACTTAAAAAACGTTTTAAAGATATTTTTCAAAAGACATCTTTAAAACGTCTATATATATTTCGATTTTGGATTTTTTGTTGTTTTATATAGATGTTGTATACAATATAAGATGAAAAAAAAGATAATTATATAACAATAATAATAATGAACATAATAAATTATTATGCTCTACTTTATAATATATAAAGTACTGATTTTTTAATATTGGTTTATTGAATATAGTATTTAATAGCGATTTTTTAAAATTAAGAATTAAGTAAAAGATAACGTGTGTCTGACGAAAAATAACGTGATAAGTGAAGATAACATCGCTTTTTTTTTAAGAAACCTATTTTCTACCGCTCAAACACCGCAATGGATTCTATACATTGGCTATTATTGGCGTCTATCTCACTGCATATATACGGTTCATCCTTTTTTTTAAATCACGTTTACCAGATAAACTAACAATTTTTTCATAGAGAAAATATAATCGAGAAATTATTACCGTTTTGTAATATATTTTTGAAGTTAAAAATCTGTTGGAAAAAGAAAAGAAAATTTCTCAGCAATTTAAAAATTACTCAAATTTATCGGAGTGAAGGTGCACGGATTTTGGCGGAATTTTTCGGGAAAGTGCTTCTAAAATGTGTTTCTCGATACCGGGAATCAATTTTCGTTGCCGGTATATATCTTTTTCAGGACACCTCATGGACGCGGCGATGAAGGCTCGAAGTAGATGATGCTTCCTTCCTCCGTCTGTATCTGTCGATTGCCAATATCTCGGCAAGACGGCAAGAGACGGCGGGATCGAACAAGTAGGATTCTTGGTTCCGATAAGAGTTAGTGCTCACTTGTTGACCCGCTTCGACGATCGTAACTTATCGAGATACAAGACCGACGATTGAGAGAGACGACGTGTGGCCAGACGTTGAGAGTCTCGGATTTATCGAGAGGTCTTTCTTAATAACATCGCGCGCACGAAGATTTTTATGGCGTGTGCGATAGATCACATGACACATCAATGCGGTTTAGTGATTTTTAGTTAGACATTTAATTGATTTTTAGTGGCGAAAACTCGCGGTCGATTAAGTATCATATTGCTACGACACTCAATTCGTCTAGAGTTATTACACTCAGAGAAAAACATAGTGATGACAACTGTACAAGTTTTATATGTAGAATGTACTAAAGAAGCGCTCCAGATAACATAGATCAATGTAAGGCATTAGTAAATATTGCACATACTCGTGCACAAGAGATTAATAACGCCAACTTAAATTGGCCACGTCTTCTCTGGAGCCGTCTTTAGTTAGAACAAACTATATTTTATAATTGCAACAACTGTAAAATAGTTGAACTATGTACACGAAAAGAGAATCATTTTGCAGAATTAAGTATTTAAAAATTTAAACTAGATACATTTCTAAAAATAATTCTATTGGACCGATCAAAGTAATTATGTAGTAATTTCAAGAATGATGAGCAATGTTGCAAGAAGTTTCGACATTCTAGCAATCAGTTTGAGCGACCTACATGATTATTTTGAGGCTCCAACAAAATTATTTTCAGTTTTTTAGATCTGTATCTATAGCTAAATTTTTAGATCATCCTTTGTCGCAGTAAAATCATCCTTTCCATGTATATTAATTCTGCATAAATATAAAACTTGTATACTTGTCACCTTTATACATAATTGTTATTTGTCTTTTTCTCTGAACATACGGCAAAGAATTCACGATCGAACTGGATAATTCTCTATAGTAATTCATATAGTGCTATTACACCACGTATCGCACGGCAAGTAAATGTTCTGTTTTGCAGTTTGCTTGCAAATCATCGTTAGGCATTTCGACTCATCGTTTGGCATGATCCGATTGGATTGCGCGCGCTCGCGTAGTCGAGTAGAATTATAGACGCAGTGCGCCGGCCAATGCCGATCCGTTACAACGAATAGCTACAGATAGAACCGATAATGAATTGGAATTGTTCGGAAACTGCATAGGCGCTTTAGCAACAACGCGAGTACCACCGTTTACTACAGTTGCGCACATAGTTATTCCATTCGAATAATATGTTTCGGTAATTGGAGGCTTTTACGTGTGGGTCCAATTGGAATTGCCCGTTTCTATGCCAATGACAAGTCTCTTCGGTGAAGTTAGCCTGTCATATTCGGAAACGCTCGTCACGGCGAGCGTATTTGTTTAAGTTGGATTGCTTCCTTTGATACTTAATTGCTCGCAATTCAATACCATTCTTAGTACAGGTCGTAAATTCGTTGCATCTAAATAGTTTTGGCCCGTTGAAAACTTTGCAATGAGTTGACATTCATCTTTTTATCATGATATAAAGGAATCAAGGCTCATTTAAACGAAATGATTTTCTCTAAGTAAGATCGATTATTTTGAATCTGATTTTTATCAGCAAAAACGTATTATTTATTCCGACATTTTAGTATCCTCTATAATGGTAAATAAAAGATTTTACAATATCACATGATTAATAATGAATATTGTATTTCTTTGATTTTTGATAAAATAATGTATTTTTGATCCATGAATGTGTGACGTAACATGAATTAACATAGAAATTGCGAGAAGGTACTAAAATGCAGGAACAGATGGTGCGCTTCTGCCAAAAAAGCGGGACGGAAATAACAGCCAACGGAGAGAAGAGATGGAGAGCAACCTAATGAATGCCATGTTAAATTTACCTGTGCACCGACGAGGCCAGCGCGTAATCTAGGGATGTCCGTGTGACTCCAGTCTGATCTGGCCCATGGGTCAACCCTGCCGAGATCGCTGCTCAGGTTGACTTCGCCAAGTTGATTGTGTACGAACTTTCTGACGTTCCAGGGCAAATCGTTGTGCCTGCAAATTGGAAATATGAGTTTTAACAGAATATTACGTGCAACATGTATAATATTTTTACTAAGAAACATTTCTGATTGCAAATGAAAGAATCAGGAGATTCTGATCATATCAGAATTCTGATTATCTCAATCAGATTTATAATAAATTCAACTAGAAAATTTTGATTTGTTCATTTTCAATTAAAATTTTAATTAATGCAATCAAACTCTTTTTCTAGTATTGCGGTACTCAGCAGTAGGATTTATTAACTTGAAAATTTATGATATACGCTATCTGTATATCATATATGCAGATTTATATAATAATCTAAAATTTTACAACTCCTATACTGATTGAGTACAACACAATACGAAATTGTTTTATTTAAAATTCTTTTATATCTAAAATTTTACAGTAAAATATTATAGATGTTATCTCTTCTGCAAATTTTAATATTATATTTTATTGTGACAAATATTGCCGAAGCCTCGGTCGAATTAGGAAAACGCTTGTATGTACAGGAGATCTGGGTTTGAATTCTAGCTGAGGTAATATTTTTTGTAATAAATTATTTACAGTTTTTTAAATGCTATAATAGCATAAAATTATTAATATTCTTCTAAGATACTTACGAGTATCAAAAATTATTAAATTGCTTGTCAATTTAATATGAGATACAATTAAATACTCTAGTTCTATTCATTTTGTGTTTTAAAATTGAAAAAGATTTCGGTATGTGGTTTTGCAGTATTGGATATGTAAATTCATTCTGAAATATTTAAGCATTAAGATTCGCTTTGAAATCGAATATTATTTCTCATAATTAATTTATTTATTTAGACGTCAGTCTAATATGAGTTATAATTGTATAATATTTTATTTTGTCTATCTAATGAAGTTATGAAATAGACAATCGAAATCTATATCCATTGTAGGATGAACAACTAATGTTTATCAGCTTAAAAATTTGTGGTATGTAATTTTTTCTTTAATAATTATGACTGATGAAGATTGTAGTCAAAATTTGTTTTGTTTTTTTTATATTTTAGTATATAATTTTTATAATATAGGTACTTAATAAGATATTCTTATTTCTATTTTTAACATTTTGCATCATCTGTTTGCGTTTTTGGTTTTTGAATTAAATTTTTTTTTTATTATAACAACGAGCTGAATTTTATAATGATATAATCTTTGTAATATCCTGCAGCGATATGTTTTTTATTTAAATATCACAATTATGGAATTATATAAATAATATATTCGAAATATATATTGGTCTGCATATTGCGATGTTACTTGAGATTAATAAGCAAGATAGAATCTAAATGGGATTTATTCGGTTTCGAGTATCTGGGGATTATATCCATATGATTATGTAATGTAATATATGATAGGTTGTAATAATTACTTGCCATTATATTAGTGAGATCATATACTCCGAAAACAAGACCATATAATGGGCAATTCAATTAATATTATTTTTCAAATGTCTTTACATATTAAAAATATTGTATATATATATATATATTTTTTTTATTTTGGCCAATGGTACGTTTTATCGTCAATAAAAACGCTTACCCGTCGATCAGAGGCACTTCAGTGAGAATCCTCCTGATCACGTCCAGCCTCTGCTGGTGCGTGGCAGGCGCGGATTGTAGTAGAAACGGCAGACAGAGGCCTCCGAGGAGTAGGACGACCACTAGGAGCAGGACAGGCGCCAACACCCGACATCTCCTGCGAGGACTCTCGTCTCTGCGATCCTTGCTGCTGCCGCTGCTAGGCGAGTCCTCGCACGGTGGCGGTAATCGCACGGTGCCGTTGCAAGGCGCCACGTCTGGCAGTTCTGTTAGGCACGTGGTCTGAAAGAAAAAAAAATCCAAAATTGTATGACATTCTGCTTACTTTTCTATTATTGATCTCGTTGAATTATTAATTTCGTTGCAGAGAAAATTGTTATAAAGAATAGAAATTATCGAATAAGCTGATGTCATTTATCATTATTTTGATATCAAAATGATGTCGAGTAATGTCACTTTGTTTGTTGAGTATTAAGTTCTTTAACAAGCGTAAAAGAAATATTATGATATACCTATTTAGTTGAGAGAGAGAGAGAGAGAGAGAGAGAGAGTGGTTTTATAATATTTTCCAAAAAATTTTCTGAAATTATGTACACATTTCTTAAATAATACATTCTTAAGTTTGAAATTTCAAAATTTATTTTTATCAATTTTTCAGTAAACTATAATACTTTAGGCTATTGAACTATTAGGATATCTAATAATACGCACATCTATTTTGTAGGTAGCTTTTTCATCAGTTTGGTTGATGTTCAAATAGTGACTAAGTTTGCGAAACAGATCTCATTCATGAAGCAGACAGAATATTTGAGTCAGTTCAGTATATCGAGATATTTGCCTAGTAAATTAATTAATCTGGTTAATAGCCGTGGCGGAGATTACACGCTGATATTCAGATGTAAATGCATACGTTTGGAAATAAATAATTATTTGTCTGTAATTTCGTGAGTTATAAGCGACATTGCAGAAGGTTAATACTTTTCTGGTTAACTGAAGTCACAATATATTTTAATAATTAAAATAAACTAACTGAGTATTGGCAAAAGATTTTAATTAAACATATTCAAACGTATTAATATGATCAAACATTATATCTTTTAAAATTGTTTAAGATACGTTTTTATATATTGCATTAAGAATTAATAACATATTTTGACATTCTCGTAACGCATTAAAAACAAATTGCGCTTCTTTTGATTAATATACGATCAAATATATTGGATGAAAACTTTTTGCTACATATTGATCTGACACATTTTACTGCAGTTGCACGGTGCAACATAAGTTTATATTAAAAGAAAAGTATTGGATATTTGTGTGATTATAATTGTATGGTAAAATAATTATAGTTAGAAGTTCCATTTTTATTACTGGTATAATGTTAGTAGTAATAATTAATTATTTGTAGTTCTATACAAGATATATATAATTGGTCCCGAAAATGATTATAAATTATAGCTAAATTGTTATTATAATTGCACAATTTTTTTTCTCGGTATAACGATATTCGCAAAATTGTTCGAAATTTTTCAGATATACTGAGATACTGTAATGAGTTTCGTAGCTATATAGCAGGGATATAAATTCTGTCGTCTCATACACGTGCGAGACTTTCCGACGCGAGCGGAACGTATCCGGGCGAAGTTAGACAATCGCGCGTGTTAACGACTATTTAAGTGTCTCTCAGAAAGTGCATTACGTTATAGTGGCGCATGCAGTGGAAACGGTCGGCACGACGGCTGTAACCTGTCCGCGGAAAAATACAACTACCCGTGGACGGAAGTATAGCCTCGAAGGAGAGTGTTGGATGAAAGGAGGACTCCTCCGCGGCGTCACTGCGACGCTCTGCAGGCAACGCGCGGTAAACTTTTGTTCGCCCTCCTTTCGGCCACCATAAAACACGTTAACGCCTGGCTACGGATTTTCCGCGCGTATATGTATATCATATATATATA